GTGTTCATGGCTGTTTGAATGATGAACTTGGAATGACTTACTGACAATACCAGCTTTTTATACCCACAGAATGTTGAAATTGATGCCACATTGAAAAGGGTTGTCTTTTGGTATTGGCCCCAATATAAGGCACACCTGTACACAATGAGACCATTACATGGAAAACACAAAATGAGGTGTGTCTATCACCCCAATACAAATGCCTCCCTATCCCAAAAATGTCTGAAGTGAAACAAACACCGTATGTATGACATCCACTGAGTCTCTCACAATATCCCTAACTTATTGTGAGTAGTATATATATATACTGTATATATATATGTATGTATTTTTAATTATATTTTTCTTAAATATAGCATTAATGTTATTCATTTATAATACTTCTGCTGGGGTTAAGCTGGTGATTCAGCCATCCCAAAGCTAATTCTTAAACTCTGAAATGTACCCGATACAGTTTGTTTCACATGGTTCCCCTCTCCATCACTGGCCCTGTTAACCACCTGGACTCAGCTTTTTCACCATCTTTGCGGTTAATGCTTTATGCGCTTTAATTCTTCAGGCACTTTCAAAAGGGAACAAAGTCAGACATTAAGATCAGTAATGTGCAGTCTCATTGTGCATGACAAAAAGCTACATGTAATTTTTAGAATAAAGTGATGACATTAAATGCTATTCTACACAGTGTTACACTGAGTGATCACTTTATTATTATTATCAGTATTTTCTACTTTCTAGCTCTAGCTAATAGGCTGCCCTACATTATCCAGTTACAGTCAATAGCAGTAACTACTACTGTACTGCTTTGCTTATGTAAACGAAATCAATGTTTATTGAATGTAATGGGGATTTTGGTGGTGGTTTTAAACAAATGAATAAATGTTTATCTTTTTTTAAGACAAACTGTAACCGTTTATTAATAATCAATACAATTGGTCATTTGGTTAAACTGTTTATGGTACCCCTAATTCAGAGGTAATGAATTTTCCTACAATCCTTTTTGCTTTTTCTTCTTCTGTGTCTGGTCCAGTCTGGAAATCAGAGGTGACCTCTCCCTTCAGGAGCTTCATTCTGGCAGATGCAAAGGTTTTGGTGAGGAAAAGAGAACATCCATAAATATGGGCAAATCTTATTACCACATTCTTTGTATTTGGACTATGTCGCACTGAATAGACTAGATAATTAGACTCAAATTTGTCATGTAAATGCCAGACTTGGCATTAGACTTCAATTCCCAAAACACCTCGCAGCCTACAAACATGGCTTCTCCAGACTACAATACCCAGGCTACGTGCTTTACTGTCATGTTCCAACTCACCTGACTACTGATTGCACTCACCGGGCGATCATTACACACATGCACACAAACTATAAACAGAGACTTTGGACATTGTTACAACATGCAGTAATCCTCGGGGTCTTCCTACCTGATGAACCAATCCTGTGTGTTTAATATTCTGGTTATTGATCTTAATTCTGTTTTTTGGATTTTGGTAATGCCTGATTTAGTCTGTTTGATGATCACCTGACCCTCTGTCTTTTTTTGACCTTGACCCTAATTAACATCTTAACCTGCAATTGACAGTTCTGACACATGACAGAATACTTTGCCCACAATATGGATGCAGCAGGTGTGTGTAAAAGGGCAGGCTAGTCAGGAAGCAACAACAATAACTCACCATGCCAAACATATACAACTAACTAGCACATGGGCACCATGACTAGCTGCCCCAGCTCCCTCTCTCATCACACACCAAACCCCATCAACTATTTGCGCGATTCAACCCAGTGCAAGGGCTTAATGCTACAGTGCTCAACACAGAATTGCTAGTTCATCAACTTTCTAATGGACAAAGCGTTAACCTGGGCAATGGCAGTCTGGTCTCAGGAAGAGGAGCACATTAGGTCATACGACCGCTTCACAGAACTTTGATCACTCTCTAGGGGGAAAGAAATCAGAGAGCAACTTCTAGCAGTCATGCAGGTCACCTAAATTCCACTGAACCACTGGAATTTCTCACCCGTTCCATGAGAAGTGGATGGAGTGAGCCAGCACTCAAAGTAACTTATTTTTGTGGCCTGAACCCAGAAGTCATCACTGAGCTCACCTATCACAATCATCAGGTATCACTGGACTCGCTTATTGATCTCTCTGTTCTCTGGACCAACTTCTTCGACACTGAGGAATGACCAAGGCAGAGTGGAACTCACAGTGCGACTCTAACACTCCTAAGGCCATGCAAGCTGGTGTGGTGAGAGTGGAGTGGAACACATACGACGCAAAAGAGAGAGACTATGCTACTACTGCGGCAACCCTGACTACCACATAGCACGGTTCCCCCAATGATCTACACCCAAAGCACCACAACCGCCATCTGTGCAAGCCACCACTATTCAATTCAATTTGTTTAGTGCTTTTAACAATGGACATTGTCACAAATCAGCTTTACAGAAATATAGAAATTATAGGCATAAATTTATCTGTAATGAGCAAGCCAGAGGTGACCCCAGCAAGGAAAAACTCCCTGATATGACATGAAGAAGAAATCTTGAGAGGAACCACACTCAAAAGGGAACCCATTCTCATCTGGGTGACACCAGATTGTAAATAATTTCCCTTCTATACCTGTATACTCTATAGTCAAAAATGCAACTGTGTAATCAGGACCTTATGAGCAACTTTATGAATATAATTTAATAATAATCTATAACAGAGATTATTAGGCATGCACATTTTCATGTAATATCACTACTATGGTACATGTAGTATATAATTTGCACAAATATATTTTACTAACTTTTGACACGTGGACTTTTTTAAATTTTGCATAATTTAATTAGAACAGAGATAAATAACTCATTACTTTAACCTGTTTCCTAGGTGCCTTTGACAAGCAAGGAGAAAACAGTGCACCACACTCTCATATAGAGTTGTTTTCTAAATAGTTTCTGTTTATAGAGAATTCAATAACTACTAAAAGTATTAAGTGATGTTTGTTTAATGGAATATAGTGTGTTCTGGTGTTTTTTAATCTTTATATCAACTTTATATATTTATATCATCTTTATATATTTAACCTCAAGGAGTCTTGTCATCATTTGGTGCGACCATCAGTCATTCCAAATTAGATATTGAAATTCTGTTTCTGAAATATTAATCACTGACATAACATGCTGAAGTAAATCCTTTTGGTATACATTTTACATACATTTTATGGGTATTAAAGACAAATTTAATCTGTAAATTTCATGAACACCTGACAGACTGCTCCTAAAACATAAAAATTAAGATGTTTCTTACAGGTATGAAAAAAAAACAAAATGCAAACTCATTTTTAAACCATTTCACTCTACTACAAGTCAAAGTATATACATGTAAAGGTAAAGTATTATTTTAAATATCACGGTGGCACCACATGACTTTTTAATGGGCAAGAATTGGTTGACTTAGTAATAGGCGCAGTTGGGGGTTCGGTGCCTTGCTCAAGGGTCTCACCTCAGTCGTGGTATTGAGGGTGGAAGAGAGCACTCCCCCCACCTACAATCCCTGACGGACCTGAGACTTGAACCCACGACCTTCGGGTTACAAGTCCAACTCTCTGAGCATTAGGCCACGACTGCCCCCAACTGCCAGTAGTAATGTGCATGCTCATAACCCTGAAGAGCCGTCTTATTTGCTTCAGCTAGCAGTGAGCTAGCAGTGTTAATATGTTCATTGAGAAATTGCCCAAAAACATGCACAAAAGTTCACTGTTTACAACTTCCGACAGGAGGTTATGATTTAAAGCCAATAAACTGTCATTAAAACAAATAAAATAGATGTAATGTTAAGCTAATTTTAAGCTCATGTTGGCAAAAAATGTAGGCTGTGCTAAACCAGTCTAACTAGACTGTTCAGTGGCATGTTGGCTAGAAAGCTAATATATTTTATGGTTGTATGGGTGTAAAATAAAATAAAATAAAAAGCTTACAGAAAGACGTAAACCTTGAGCTGTATCCCAACCTTAATGTGTTAAATTTAACTTGAAAAGCTATTCTCTACATCTCAGCTTAATTCATTATTGTTAGATTTAAACTTAAGGCTAGTTAGCTGATTGCTAGCTGTCTTACCCTTAAAACGGAATAACTGCATTTCTTTTGAAATATTTTAACTTTATTAAGCTACAGAAATGTAACTGTACCCAAAGAGAAAAATATTACTTAACTTATTAATACAAAGTATTGTTCAGTTGTGCTCCATCTGTGACCTACTGCTGCTTCTTCACCCAGATGGAGCACAAAAAAACGTTCACTTGTTTTCACAAAGCCCCACAGTTATGCAACAGCCTTCCAGTTAGTGTTTGGGGCTCAGACACAGTCTCAGTGTTTAAGCCTAGGCTGAAAACATATTTGTTTAGTCAAGCCTTTTGTGAATAGTTTTTTTCTTAGGTAAAGGAGCAGGTCTGGAGGGTTCACAGGCACAGAGTGTTGTGACGCTGTCGCACCCCCACTCGGGTTCACTCAGGTTTGTTGACGGTGGAGTGGCTGACCGCTTTATGTCCCAGGGCACCCTTATATCTGTGTTACCTTCTGGCTTTGCCTTTTAGTTATGCTGTCATAGCTAGTCTTGCCAGAGTCCCTGCCTGCACTCTGCACGCAAAGTACATTGCCCTTAACCATTGCGGGACAAAAGCTTACCTTACAATCTCTCCCTCTCTCTGTCGAGTTACACATGCTACTCCTGAGATTCCTGACCCCTTCTCATCGGTTGAGTTTGCTCGCTGCTGCTAAAGGTTGCCCCACAAGGACGGCCTGAAGATCAGTGGGATTGCTTGGGATGGTGCCACTTGGGGGCCGTGGAGATGGCTTAAGGATCTCATATGGGGAGTTGTACTGTGATGGCTTGGGACTGTGATTGCTGTGGTGGCTTTGGGGCTGCGGTTGCCAAGAGCAGCTTTGTAATCAGAGCTCCATCAGTGGACAGTGGATAGGTTTAACAAAGCAGATTTCTTGTGAAAACTGTGACAAATTTACTGGTTGCATAATTGCACTATTTGTCCATATAGTACACAGTTATAGAAGACATTTATTTATAATTGCACTATCCGTTAGCACCCAGATGAGGTTGGGATCCCTTTTGAGTCTGGTTCCTCTCAAGGTTTCTTCCTCATATCATCTTAGGGAGTTTTTCCTTTCCACCATCACTGCTGGCTTGCTCATTAGGGATAAATTCATATACACTATATTGCCAAAAGTTTTGGGACACAAATCATTGAATTCAGGTGTTCCAATCACTTCCATGGCCACAGGTGTATAAAATCAAACACCTAGGCATTCAGACTGCTTCTACAAACATTTGTGAAAGAATGGGTCGCTCAGGAGCTCAGTGAATTCAAGTGTGGTACCGTGATAGGTTGCCACCTGTGCAATAAGTCCATTCGTGAAATTTACTCACTACTAAATATTCCACGGTCCAACTGTTAGTGGTATTATAACAAAGTCGAAGCAATTGGGAACAACAGCACCTCAGCCACGAAGTGGTAGGCCAGGTAAAATCACAGAGTGGGGTCAGCGCATGCTGAGGCGCACAGTGCGCAGAAGTCGCCAACTTTCTGCAGAGTCAATAGCTACAGACCTCCAAACTTCGTGTGGCCTTCAGATTAGCTCAAGAACAGTGTGTAGAGAGCTTCATGGAATGGGTTTCCATGGCCGAGCAGCTGCATCCAAGCCTTACATCACCAAGTGCAATGCAAAGCGTCAGATGCAGTGGTGTAAAGCACACCGCCACTGGGCTCTAGAGCAGTGGAGACGTGTTCTCTGGAGTGACGAATCATGCTTCTCTGTCTGGCAATCCGATGGACAAGTCTGGGTTTGGCAGTTGCCAGGAGAATGGTACTTGCCTGACTGCATTGTGCCAAGTGTAAAGTTTGGTGGAGGGGGGATTATGTTGTAGGGTTGTTTTTCAGTGGTTGGGCTTGGCCCCTTAGTTCCAGTGAAAGGAACTCTTAATGCATCAGCATACCAAGACATTTTGGACAATTTCATGCTCCCAACTTTGTGGAAACAGTTTGGGGATGGCCCCTTCCTTTTCCAACATGACTGCACACCAGGGCACAAAGCAAGGTCCATAAAGACATGGATGAGTGAGTTTGGTGTGGAGGAACTTGACTGGCCTGCACAGAGTCCTGACCTCAACCCAATAGAACACCTATTGGGAAGGCGAGCCAGGCCTTCTTGTCCAACATCAGTGCCTGACTTCACAAATGCGCTTCTAGAAGAATGGTCAAAAATTCCCATAAACACACTCCTAAACCTTGTGGAAAGCCTTCCCAGAAGAGTTGAAGCTGTTATAGCTGCAAAGGGTGGGCCAACTCCACATTATACCCTACGGATTAAGAATGGGATTCTATTAAAGTTCATGTGCATGTAAAGGCAGACGTCCCAAAACTTTTGGCAATATAGTGTATGTGAACATGCATATGTGCAATATTTGTGGATTATGTATCATAAAAAAAGCTTTTTTAATGTCACTAAATTACTATAATTTGAGGGAGTTGAAAAAAATCATTTTGAAAATGATTAAGGATTTAAATCTAAATCCATATCTGGATTTCTGTGAAGCTGTTTTGTGACAATACCCATTGTGAAAAGCTATCTAAATAAAATTGAATTGAATTTAATACACCATTAGTATGTAGAAAGATGAAATCTTTCCTGGTGTGGGAGGGACCAGGGGGCATTTTTAAAGCTCTTTTCTGGATGTATTTGATTTATAGAGATTAGACTGATTAGAATTTCCAATTATTTCTGAGGCCTTGCACAAAATCTGTTCCAATATCCTCTTTGTGTGTGTCAATATATACCCCATTAGTGTTTGATTAAAAAAAAGAAGAAGAAAAAAGAGAGAGAGACATGCACACACAACCCGGCTTCAAAAAGACTTGACTATCCTGACACTACTTGGTTATCTAGCTATTAGTGCATTATAATCTGAGTGAATGAAGGGCTCTGAAATGATTTTTCCTGCCTGTATACTTATTCTGGAAGAGTGCAGTTCCTGGAGAGAGGACAGAAGAGCACCAATAAACCTCTCAGCAGCCCGGACTGTCTGTTGTAGTCCTCTTATGACTAATTGGATAGCTGAACCAAACCTGGCAGTTAGTGAAGTGCACAGAACCGACTCAATGACTGACCCAGTAGAACTGGGTCAGCAGCTCCTGTGGCAGGTTGAATTTCCTCAGTTGAAAAAGGAAGTACAGCTTCTGCTAGACCTTTTTCATGATGGAGTCTATGTGGAGTCTATCCCAAGTTTGGCAAGCAGCCTTCTGTATGTGTTCACTATTGTCTGTGCCCATGCCTGTGTTGAATGTTCCAGAGCTTGATCTGCACATACAATTGGGTCCATAAGTATTTGGACAGTGACACAATTTTTGTAATTTTGCCTCTGTACACAACCACAATGGATTTGAAACGAAGCAATCAAGACATGAATGTAGTGTTTTAGCTTTAATTCAAGGGGTTTAACAAAAATATTGCATATGAACCAGATCTGTTGAACCAGAATTCACAGACCGGAAATCACATTATTGCTCAGAATTGTATGTGACAATGGGCCCTCGTCTGAGCCCAGCTTGTCAGTCCCGTTAGAAGCCAAAACCAATTTTTATATTTCCCAGCTTTATGCTAGCTTTGTAATTTGTTGATTTTCAGTGTTACGCCAGCTTTGTGCTTTGGGTAATACAGTGTAATGCTAGCTTTTGATATCAAATTTTAAGCTTGTACAGTTTGGTGATACTCATCCTAATGTGTATTGTCTGGAAGTACACATCAGTTCAACTACTCTGGTGTCTGTTACCCTGATTTATGTTTCAACCCTTGCTTCCCTCTGACAATAAGCTTAACTTGTTTCTAAACATGAACAAAAAGGGTTGTAACAATTGTAATATGATCCTATACTGTCAACCATTTAGTATGTTTCACTCACCAAGCAGGAGCTTTTGGATGCTTTCATTTTTAATCCTTGTGCATCCATGTGCTGTTGTGAAAGGCATCTCCGATTTGCATATGCTTCATTATATGATGCCTATTGTTTTGAATGAAACTATCAGTGTTTAGGTTTTGCTTTTTTGACTTTCCTCAGTGCCACTTTCATTCAGACAGAGAGCATGGCACGGTTATGTTCATATGAACTGTGCGCAAAACATTAAACCTTTTTTCCATGTTCAGTCTGATGGCATCTTTCAGCTTCTTGTTCTAAGCAATAAGCCTTTATGTTGCAAGTGAAATCTCGAAATCTCGAGCTGTTTAAACAGCGTTGGGCCTGAAAACAAATTTGCTCAGAGCTATGTGCAATAGAAACAGCTGCTGCTACATCCAGGGCTTCACTATCATATTATACTCTATCCAAAAATAGCCACTATTTTATTACACGCTACCCAAAAATAGAGGCCTAAGTACTCATTCATAATAACACATTTCTGCTGTCAAATATAAAAATCCAGGCAGACAATTTTTCATAATGAACATTATCAATTATTCAGACTAATCGCTGCAGCCCTAGTCATGACCAGTGTTGTGTCATAGGGGCACATAGGGCATGTTGTAATATCAAAACATATCAAACAGCTGAACTTGAGAGTGGTC